AATTATTCATACACTCATCAAAGCTGGCTCTTTGGGCCTGTGAATTGCGGTAAATTTTCTCCTCTGTTGAAATAATGTGTGTCTAGTTGTTGTTTCCAACATGAACGGTTTGGTTTATGATCTTAAACTAGGGTTGCTTTCAGAGACGTGAAAGCCAGTTGAGCGGAACAAACGTGATTTGATATTTGTATAAGTAACTAAATGTGTAACGAGTTATTTTTCCTAGGGGGGTAAATTTTCGCTATTTGGCCGCGCACCGGTTGTTGAGGTAGGCAGGCGGCGGCGGCGAAGCTACCTAGCGCCCTTTGACCCGGCTTATCAGTTCCGATAAGCCTGGGATATCCTAGATCTTCAGGACAGTATAGGAGAAGGAGATTCGAGTCGTGGATCCCGGACAGTGAGGATAGTGTGGTGTCTTGTGGACGACTGGGATACGTCGGTGGTGTACGGTTTACGTAGAGAGTGGTGTACGTGACAGTGGTGTCGGAGTATGCTGGTGGTGTGATTGCGCCGAGTGTTGGTGTAAGTTGGGTACTGACCCACTTGTGGTGAGTGGACGACTTGATATTATTCGTTTGATAATATTAATATCTGGTTTTATTGCGAGAGTTAGAGTTGTAACCGTGCTGGTCAAAGCCTGACGATAGTTAGGATTTATTTATTAGTCAGGAATAATATTAAAGTATATTCCTGACGGTTCTGGGCAGGTGCTAGAGCGCAAATAATATAATTTAATTGACTGTAGTAGATATTATTTTGCGTTGTACCTAGAGTTAGTTATATTACTAATAACTCTGAGGCCCGACAAACCTAGGCTGCACGATTTAGCGTGCGTAGTTGGAAGCACGAGGCCAGTAGGCTAGTAGCTAGTTTTATTAGCCTATTAACAGAAGCCCAGCTAAGTAACATAAAGTTGGTAGTAGCAGTAGGGTTGGTATTGATTAATCATTTAATTATTTTAATTTAACCTGAACAGCTTGCTTAGTAATCCAACACGTTAGCTTGGTAGCTTGGATAGCGGAGTACCGGCTATCAGATAATATATTTATCTAGTGTTTGGAACGTATTTAATATTTATTTATCTGCTACTAAGTAGCTCAGTATTTTAATAGTGCAATTGCCATTTAGTTTTGCTTGTTTGGCTTGGTATTTATTGAGACCAGCTACTAGTGGTGTAGTCACTCTACCTATAGTGTACTTGTATATTATTATGTGGTACGATTATTGAGTGAACTGTTTGATTCTTAGCTTGGGCATTAGGGTTGTGTATTGGATTATAGTGGCCTAGTAGACCCCGCCTGGTGATAACACGCGTTGTGGTTTTTATTGGCAAGTCGTCGTGTAACTCACTGTGTTTTAGGCACTCTGGGCTTAACTATTGGATAGTTAGGATAGGACGAAGCCCGAGTTGCGTAGTCAGCAACGACCCCCTAGGAGTGTGGAGAATCGGCGTAGGCCTGGTAGTGATTATTGCACGTTTGTTTTGGTGACTTGTTTTTGACTTGTTCACAGTGCCCGTGTATGAGCCAGTCCTATACCGGTTAGACCCGGCTTTTGGCCTAGTGGTTTCCCTGACCTTATCGCAGACCCTGGAACTTTACCCAGCCATTGTAGGCTGAGCTATCCCCGGCAAACGGTTGCGATTGCGACTGCACTTTTAATATTTTTTTTCCCAGTGCAGAAAATTTCGTCGCAAGATGGCGCCTGCGAACAGGGACTGAGGTTGGCAGTGGTGCTGAGTTGCTGACGTATTAACGGCGCCCGAACAAAATAATTTTATTTGTGCAGATTTGCTGCGGACTTGTGCAGATTGGCTGCGGACCTGAGCTGTTGAGCAGAGTTTTAGGCAGACCTGCTGTGATTTTATAGTCGGTTGGGTAGGCCTAACCTGTTTTCTGTTACAGCGTGGTGTGTTGTGAACCCTAATTTATTTAGTGGTTGTATACATAGATGTTAGTTAGTAATTTTAATTTTGCTAATTAATTGAGCCTTATCATTGGATATTATTTGAGTGAGAACCCTTATTGTGTATTTGTGGTTTGACTTTCACAACCATAATTGGTTTGATTTATTATTTTGCTAATTAATTAAGCTTTAGTGTTGAATATTATTTGAGTGAGAACCCTTATTGTGTATTTGTGGTTTGACTTTCACACCTATAATTGGTTTGATTTAATAGTACGGTGTTAAATAGATTTTAATCGGTTTCGCTCTTATTTTTGCGGATTAGTCGTAGTATTTGATTTTTAAATATGGTTGTGACTACGAGTACGACGTCTGTGCTGGGCGGTACGCCTATTACGTCTGCTATTGCTACGACTAGTTCTGGGGTTAGCTCCGAACTGTCGGTGATGACGACATCGTCATTGTGGCCGGCGTCTTCGCCCGTTTGGCCGACAATTTCTTCGGTAGTGGCTACGACGGTGACAACGTCTCTGACCTATTCCGTGCCAGCGACTATGTCCTTGGGGTCGCAGCCCCGGGACGGTCGCGTGGGTTGGATATATGACCTCTCGAAAGGGGAGCTCATGAGGACGATGGACCAGTATGGTTTGGTGACCACTGGGACTTCTGCTGAATTACGGCAGAGATTTTCGTCGTTTTGGAAGCAGCGGAATGCCCGTCGGTACAGCGAGGATAGGCTGTGTACGGCTGGGGCTGCTGCACCGACATATGTACCGCCGGCTACTACAACCATAGGGCATCCAGACCCCCCGAGAACCGTACCTCAGGTACTGGTTAGTACTGAATCGGACCAAACAGAGATATTCAGACTTAGCAGGGAGTTAGAGGCGGTCAAAGAGATTCTTGGGTTGTCTTTGGAGACTGATACCCGGACTCTTCGAGAACAACTTGCATTGGTGGTGCGACAGGCTAGGGGCTCGCCGAGTAATGGGGTCGGCTATGGGTTCGAAAGACCCGCCAACCCTACGTCCCCTGTTATGGCTGCTCCAATGCCTACCTTTGGGTTACCTAGTAGACCCGAGGGATGGCAGCGGCCTAATGATAGTTCTGAGAGACCAGCCCGGCCTTCTAGCTTGGAGCTGCCTCGAGGCTCGGATATGCTCTCAAATGAGGCCAGCAGGGTGGAGCCAAAGGATTGCTCCAAAATATGTAACACGGTACGGAAGTGGGGTTTGAGGTTTGATGGCCGACGAGACCCTGTGTCGTTCCTGGAGCGCCTTGAAGAGCTGATGGTCTCGTACTCTATAAAATCAGAGGACCTGCTCAGAGCGCTGCCGGAGCTGTTGCAAGGCTCAGCGCTTCTATGGTACAGGAATTGCAAGGAGCTCCTGTATTCATTCGAAGCTTTTCGGCATCAATTTGAGATCCAGTTCCTTCCACCTGGTTATCAGAGGAATTTGGATGAGGAGATCCGGAAAAGGACACAGGGTGAAGGCGAGCACTTCCGGGACTACGTTGTTGCCATAAGTACCTTGCTTAGGCGTAGCGGTACGTTGTCGGAGCATGATAGATTGGACTTGATCTACAACAACATGCGACCTGAGTACAAACTCATGGTGCGAAGACGGGACTTCCGCAATCTGGCCGAGATGATTGAGTTGGCTGAAGATTATGAGGCCTATCTGAGAGAGAAGGCAGCCTTCCGGCCTCCACCTTTACCCAACGTAGCGCTGGTTTTGGAAACCGCCTACGTTCCCCGGAAGAAAGCTGAGAAGAATCTTGTGACTGTCACGTACGAAAGAAGTAGTTTTGAGAGACCGTCTCCTGAAGCCAAGTCAGTTGGGCAGCGGGTTGGCTCGTACTCGATCGAGGCTCGTGTACGAAGGCCCGCAATGACAAGGAAAGTGGCTGATGGTGTACGGTGCTTTAGGTGCCAGGAGACTGGTCACTTTGCCAAAGAATGTGGCAAGCCAAGGACCGTCTCCTGTTATGGGTGTGGGAAACCCGGTCTTACTGTGAACCAGTGTGGATGTCGTGCGGGAAACGGCAGGCCAGCTCAGACATCAGGAGGTCAACTGGGCAAGGCCACCGACAACGAACGACCTCAGAAGAGTGGTCCGAGTGGCTCGGAAAACTAAACAGCCTGGTTGGTGGAGTAGACGAGGACCGGCTAACTTTGGAATCTAGGCCCTTTGTTGAAGTTGTGCTGATGGGCAGCGTTTTCGTGGCGTTACTGGACACTGGGTCCGTCGTCAACTTGGTTGGGCGAGGAGTCGCCGAACATCTTCAACGCCAGGGGATAGAGCCATGTAAGAAGGCCACTCCTCTAAGGATGGCAGATGGGACACGGTCGAGGGCCGAGTATTTGTTTCGGTTAGCAGGAGAAGCTGCGGGAAGACGGTGGATAGGAGATGCCTTGTACGTCCCCACTCTCACCACAGACATGGTTCTGGGTATGGATGTCATCCGAGACCTCGGATTGGTGACATGTGGGACAAAGGTAGTAAGAATGGGCGTGGGTGATGACTGTTCTGGCCAAGGTGGCCGCATAGACAGTGTCAAAATTGGTGACGTAGACCCCGAAGGCCCTTGCAATGGAAATCCCCGTCTGGTTCCTGATGCCAAATCATTCTGCACCATGGTGGCTGGTAGTGGCAAGTAGAAGAGTTTTTCTTTGTTTTAAGTTTGAGACCTGTGGTGTAGGATTCACCATTGGGTTAGGGGTTAGAGTATTTTGTTTTGGCCGGAGTTCGAATATTTTTTTTTCTTTTTGGCCGTTTTCTTTTTTTTCATCCCGATGTAAGTGGGGGATGTAACGAGTTATTTTTCCTAGGGGGGTAAATTTTCGCTATTTGGCCGCGCACCGGTTGTTGAGGTAGGCAGGCGGCGGCGGCGAAGCTACCTAGCGCCCTTTGACCCGGCTTATCAGTTCCGATAAGCCTGGGATATCCTAGATCTTCAGGACAGTATAGGAGAAGGAGATTCGAGTCGTGGATCCCGGACAGTGAGGATAGTGTGGTGTCTTGTGGACGACTGGGATACGTCGGTGGTGTACGGTTTACGTAGAGAGTGGTGTACGTGACAGTGGTGTCGGAGTATGCTGGTGGTGTGATTGCGCCGAGTGTTGGTGTAAGTTGGGTACTGACCCACTTGTGGTGAGTGGACGACTTGATATTATTCGTTTGATAATATTAATATCTGGTTTTATTGCGAGAGTTAGAGTTGTAACCGTGCTGGTCAAAGCCTGACGATAGTTAGGATTTATTTATTAGTCAGGAATAATATTAAAGTATATTCCTGACGGTTCTGGGCAGGTGCTAGAGCGCAAATAATATAATTTAATTGACTGTAGTAGATATTATTTTGCGTTGTACCTAGAGTTAGTTATATTACTAATAACTCTGAGGCCCGACAAACCTAGGCTGCACGATTTAGCGTGCGTAGTTGGAAGCACGAGGCCAGTAGGCTAGTAGCTAGTTTTATTAGCCCATTAACAGAAGCCCAGCTAAGTAACATAAAGTTGGTAGTAGCAGTAGGGTTGGTATTGATTAATCATTTAATTATTTTAATTTAACCTGAACAGCTTGCTTAGTAATCCAACACGTTAGCTTGGTAGCTTGGATAGCGGAGTACCGGCTATCAGATAATATATTTATCTAGTGTTTGGAACGTATTTAATATTTATTTATCTGCTACTAAGTAGCTCAGTATTTTAATAGTGCAATTGCCATTTAGTTTTGCTTGTTTGGCTTGGTATTTATTGAGACCAGCTACTAGTGGTGTAGTCACTCTACCTATAGTGTACTTGTATATTATTATGTGGTACGATTATTGAGTGAACTGTTTGATTCTTAGCTTGGGCATTAGGGTTGTGTATTGGATTATAGTGGCCTAGTAGACCCCGCCTGGTGATAACACGCGTTGTGGTTTTTATTGGCAAGTCGTCGTGTAACTCACTGTGTTTTAGGCACTCTGGGCTTAACTATTGGATAGTTAGGATAGGACGAAGCCCGAGTTGCGTAGTCAGCAACGACCCCCTAGGAGTGTGGAGAATCGGCGTAGGCCTGGTAGTGATTATTGCACGTTTGTTTTGGTGACTTGTTTTTGACTTGTTCACAGTGCCCGTGTATGAGCCAGTCCTATACCGGTTAGACCCGGCTTTTGGCCTAGTGGTTTCCCTGACCTTATCGCAGACCCTGGAACTTTACCCAGCCATTGTAGGCTGAGCTATCCCCGGCAAACGGTTGCGATTGCGACTGCACTTTTAATATTTTTTTTCCCAGTGCAGAAAATCTCGTCGCAAATGTAAAAAAGTCAATAGATGTATTAATGCTTGTTTTATTGATTATAATTGTAATAATTCAAATTTGTTTTTACTACATCTTGTTATTCAGACACCTCTTCCAGAAGTGCATTGGTAGTTTTGACCAGGAAAATATTACAGTAGTTGGAATCTGATATTAACATCCAAAAAGGGCATTAAAGTATAAAAAAGAGAAAGGAAATTTAACATTCAAATTCAACTTTAGCCTACAACAAAAACATTGGTGTTCATTTTTCACCCTTACAATCGGTTTAAAGTATTTAAGTATAAAAAACAGTAACTATTTAAAAAACACGTGAGTATTAAAGTATAACATCAGGAGGGAAAATTTGACATTTAAATTCAACTGTGCAACATAAACATTGGTCTTCATTTCAACCCTTGCAATCGGTTAAAATCAGCTTTCTTTGCTGAAAATAATTTATGATTGTTAATACCAAGTATTCTTGATATGATTGTAATGTAACTGGAATGTAGGTCTTCCACCATTATTGGGACGATTTAGAGACGGCATTTTAATACTGGCCTTAATAAAACCATTCACCATTGGATACAGAAGATTTTGATGAAAAAGCTGGCTATAAATTTAACATGGGGATGGAATGTCTAGTTGTATTGATAGTCAAAGATAACCGTGGTTAAAAGTGTACTTCTATAAGTCCAGGTAATTAATTATTTACTTATTACGGTTATAACTGGACGTATGTATAGTCCGTGGCTTGGCAATCAAATAACAGTATTCATATAGGATAGGCTACTGTTATCAACATTTGAAATTACTGAATTGTTACCAAATTACTGTTTCACAAAATGCAGATTCCATTTCAGCCGAGCCATTAAAATGAGGATTTGCCGAACAATTATTAATATTACAGAATAGTATTTAATGATGTACAACTTTTCACATTTCATAAATTATATGTTAGTTTTGCTATGGGCAAAGGTCCAAATCCAAATGTTCTTTTCTTTTGGTTTTTATGTAGTAATTTGCTACAATCATTGACTTTATATAAAGTCAATGCTAGAATACAGTAGATGGTTTGTTAAGACCATATGCAAACATTTTTGGAATCGTTTCCCCATTTAACCAACTATTCCAAAAGATAAAAATTATATGGTGCATCACAAATAAACAACTCGATCACCTACCTATAACCTACACTTTACCTTCCTAATCTAACCTTACTTCAAAACATTTAATGTAGTCACGAGTACTCATAAACCCCGACCTACCTTCCCCACATGCCTAAATTAGATCAGTGTTCAATCTGCGTTTTATTAATAAGTGTAATAACTTACTGCACCGTCGATGTAATTCAACATAATATAATCTGTGATGTATTATCGGATTAAATATCGATTTCGATGTGGTTCGATATATCGCTTATTAAATCCTGATTTCTAACATTGGCTGTTTCTAATCAGCTGGCAACACAAATAGGTTCCCAAGAAAGTAGTCACTGGTCCGTATCCCTCCGCTCCTTGTTTATGCTCCGCGCATTGAGAAAGTAGTTCCGTATATTTTCTCGATTTTCAGTGAATTCCGCGCCTTAAAAAAATGTTGTAACGGCATTTTCTTGTTTATTAAAATCATAGGAATGGTTTAAAAACGTTTAAAAGAAAAGTATAGAAAGTTCAGAAATACCTTATGATTCTCTTGTTTACATTTTTCTTGTAAACAAAAAAACTGTCATAGCTACTTTAGTCCCATAAGCCTAATGTTAAAAATTTAAAAATTTAAGTTCGTTTTAAATTGCATTAGCATTATCTAATTGAAATTTGTTTGTTTACAAACCATCTCATTATTAGTCTAAGTAGTCTTGTTAAGTTTGGCTGAAATGTGTTCAGCCGTTATTGAGTGATGGTGTTATATTGTTTGCATTGAAGTTGATCCCAAAGAGCTTCGCTCGCTTCGCTCGCTCCGCTCAATCATATGACCAAATCACCAAATGTGGGCCAAATACGCCACATCTCCCCATATACATAGTATATGGAGAAAGTATTGTTTTTGTCAAAATTTTCATCCCATGAAACCCCCCATAAACCCCCAATCTCGTAGTCTAATCATGCTGATTAGCGAACTTGTATGAATAAACGTAGGTACAAAATTTAATCTAAATTAGTTAATGAGTGTGCTTGATCTAAATTTTTGCTTGAGCTGTCTCACTAACAGACATATATAGGTATATATTATACATATATGGATTTGAACGAATTGTGTTTTTGGCCTCTGGAGACATCAAAATTAAAAAGTAAATCGGTCCCTGGCCCAGATCTTACTATGAGACCTACGTTAATAGCTAGCTTATATAGATATGTAGATATGGGAAATTCGCTAAAACCATAACAAGTTTTTGTATTGTGAAATAGATTCTATAATATAAAAAAAATCTTATATTATAGTGTGACTTATTAAACTGATATTATACCGTGCAGCTGTGGGATTAATTCATCTGACAGGTTGTAGATATATTGTTTATTATTGTTTACAGGGCTTCATATTTTATAATGCCGATATTGGACAAATACCAGTCTGTAATGCAGTGATTATTAATAATCATCAGGTTCTTACTACAGCCAGCTGTATCTCATCTGCGTAAGTATTTTTTATAATTTTATAATAACACTAGCAGAGTACCCTAGCTTCATTCGCGGTTGGCGTATTTAAGTATGAAATGCTATACTCGTAATCTGTGTTTGCAATGGGGGAGGATAGGGCTTGAGAAAATTTGGTTCCTCAAATTTATGGTATGCTATAGTATAACACATCTACCATAGCCATAATTTTCTACCACTGCACCTAAACAATAGAAAAAAGTAAATAATCAAACATTCGCGCAGTATCACAAATTATTTATTAAATTAAAAACAAAAACATAACTGAAAACAATTCTACTCTGTCAGTTCTCATTGTGTATCACAGCTTCATTGTTGCTGCTTAGTTTAAATTAGCTCTTGTCATAAATGGAAAAAAATAATAGTGCTGCAACCTGTTGGCAACTGGCAAAATTATTTAATTCCTTTTAAATATGAATACTCATAAGAATAACATCGAAACTTTGAACTCCCGTTGGGCATAGCCCTATAGGATTTTCACAACTTTAATATGCCTATGTGTTTCTCAAGTTTATCAAGTACATCTCTGCAAAATGTCAGCTTAATCGGTCCAGAAGCTTTCACGTGATAGAACTTCAGAGTTATACCATTGACTATTGGATACTGAAGTTTTCTATTAATAGTCAAAGGTTATACACAAACATCCATACTTTCACATTTATAATATTAGTAGGATTAGTAGGATAGGATAATTTTGGTTTGGCTAAAGATAGATGACTAAAGACTAGGGAACATTACATATAAAGGGTGTCCCAGTAAGAACGCCGGATTTCAGGAGCGTTTTATGCTTATCTGTATTTCAATAGGAATTCCCAAATTATCAGCGATGTTACAGTATTAGGTCCCATTTGTAGTCATGAATCGCTACACGACGGATCAACGCGTGGTCATAGTTAAAGTGCACTACAAGTACGGAAAATGTTTCTCTGAAACGGTGCGGAAGCTGCGCGCTATTTTCGGCCAGGACAATGCACCAAATGAGTCATCTGTCCGAAGATTGATTTCTAAGTTCAAAGAAATTGGCTCAGTTTTGGACATTAAAAGACCAGTGTGCAGTCGGGCAGGTCGCTCCCTTGAAAATATTGAGGCTGTACATGATAGTGTAGAGGACAACGCAAGAACATCGATTCGTCGGCGTAGTAAGCAGTTATAGCTCGGAGCACAGTACAAAGAGTTTTGTGAAAGACCTACACAGGTTCCCTTACAAAGTTCAACTCACACAAGAGATCAAGCCAAGAGATCCTGTAATAATAATAAAGTAGTATAATTAATTTTCTTGAAAAGAAACAATGATGAATAAGTTGTTATTTACCTTATTTTAGGAACTCCTACTCTTTATCAGACCTCATCCTGATGGCAGGCACAGCAGATTTAGATACTGCTGACTTCTACAACTTCACTTCATCGCAAGAACATCCTGATTACAACAGTACTACTTACTACCATGACCTCATCATACTGCAGGTGATACGTAGCTTTGAAATAAGATGTGGAGTTGATAGAAATTTACTATGAATTACCAAGAGTTTCCAATTACAGTTTATACTAACGCTCATTCAACATTAAATCACAAAATAAACAGACGGTTTAAACCTATAGATATACTAGCGGAATACCCGTGCTTCACTAAGGAATTAATATTAATTCCTTAGTGTAACTAACATTAATAACTTAAATTAAATAAAAAAACTTAAAAATTAAACTTTCAAATTGGTTGAAATTTAAAATTAGTGTTTGTGCCAAAAACTGTTAGTCAACAATTCAGCTACAACCTGAGCTGCCCCAAACGATGTTGGTGTTATTTTAAAGCAGCTATTATAATGTCTCAGCCGGTCCATAAAGTGTATATGCTCAGGGTGGTTGCCCATGACCAGACTGCATAAAGGTTCAGGTAGGTACTGCAAAGGTATAAGCTGCACATTACCACCATTGCAGCACATATCCAGTGTGTTTCTTCTCTCCATTTTAAGGCCTCGTTGTACTTACATCTCAACGTCATGGTATCGCCACCCAGCTATCTCCTTCATTGTCTATTTTCGATCATATGTCATTGCTGATAGATTTTTCACCATTCATCGAATCCTTGGTGAATGTCTTTCAGGATGAGTTTCTTCATACTTTTTGCTTGCATTTTTCACCTGCTTTTTCCTTTGTTTGTCTGTGCACCTGCTATGCCGTTTACACCTTAATGTATTTTGTTGAGATTCCGGGATCGGCTGACATTCGGGAGAAACGGGCTCTTTTTGTAGCTCTTAAACATTAAAGTGTGGAACAAACTCGTCATTAACATTTAAAACCTCAGTGTCCATACTATGAAACGGGTTGAACAACTACAAAAATATTAACAGAACTAAGTTCTTACAAATTAAAATGCAATAAAAACTAAGTTTAATTCTACTTTCTTAAACACTGATACATATTAGAAGTTGATATTACTAAAATGCCACAACAAACTAGGTTAAATTCACTGACACACAACTATGATTTTTATATGGTTCGTTATAAAACGCCCCCATACACGGGAGAGCATGTTTGCGAGCCTGTTGGCGGACACGCTCGCGAACATGCTCGGTGTTTCCGACAGACGGTCGAGCATGCTCGCGAGCTTGCTTGCCGCCACCACACAGTACTCACTTCTCTCGTGCTGTGACAGCCCGACCAGCCGAGCGCCGAGCCCAGTATGCTCGCCGGTACGAAGGCTTGCAGACCCCACACACGAGCGAGCATGTTCACCGCCAACACCATCACGAACATGCTCGCGAACATGTTTGCCCGTGTATGGGAAGCCCAACCTTAGTAAACTTTATTCTAACAGCTGATGGTTAAATAAATTGCAGGCAAAAATGTAAACAAAAACTCAAAACAAATTATTGTTCCTTTATGAACTCCATGCTAACTTTGACCTTCTGTCATATTCTTGGCCTGTCAAAAGGTTTGGATAGTCATAGTTCTCTAAGTAGATAATTATTGTTATAATTCACATGTGTAAATTACTGTACATGAATAGTACTACCTAAAACTAAAACCAAGGCTTTAACTAAGATAAAACTACTTTCAAATCCTCCAAAGAACTCTAATATGTTTATCAACTGTACATTTTTTCTTTGTTTGTTATTATACTGTAGCGTAGCCTCCTCTATACAAGGATGCGCCGAGACAAAAGTGGTGTTAATGACGTTTTTATTAATTTAAAATAACTACGTAATATAGCTATATATTTTTGTTGTAGACAGAAAGGGACTTCAAAATCTCTAAAAATTTGTCAGCTGTTGATCTCACGCAATCTACCTCTTACGAAAACTGTTACATAAGCAGCTGGTCTATAAACGTAAGTATTTCTCTTAATCAATACTTATTTGTGTTGTTTTTTAACCATTGGTTATATCTGAAGAAACTTTCAATGAGGTATAGAAGAGTTGGTATCATAAAAAAAAACTTGAACTAAATTTTGAGACCGAGAGGCAAACCACTAGGCTAGCAACACCCAATGTTCATGATTATTGATTTGATTGAGTTTGGGTGGACTTTGTCTTAAGACATATGAAAAAAAAAAATTTGAATAAATCACACATACTGTTGCTGCAGTCTGAAATGGAAATTAAATATCTAGTTACATTGTCAATGTCACACATAAACTACACACAATTATTTCTCACAAATTTAGGTCCATATCAAAACCGTACCGAGCTTGTTTTATTTTTTGTATCAAGTTTTTTCTTAGGGAGGTTGATGGCCTCCCCTAGCCCCCTCTGTGTAGGCCCATGTCCTGAATGTATGCAATTAATTAAACAAAACTGAGGATATGTACCTAACAAAAATTTGCTTAAATTATAACCATTATGATTTTTTTTTTTTTTTAGGATACGGTGTCAGAGTTACTATACAGCCAAGTGTCTGTGAACTCGCATTGTCAAACCGATACCAACCAAATTTTCTGTGCAGGAGATGTGTCTGATGTGGTAGGTTAATTTCATCACCATTTAGCTTATTTTGATATCTCTTAAAGTTTTTGAATAAAACAGCTGGCACACTTATATCAATCACCCTGTATAAGACCGCCCAGGCCCCCTAAATGTTAGGCGGGGTGAAGGGGCGTGATTGTCGGGAAATGCCTAGAAGCGTTTTTTAGAAAGTTTTATTCCTGACCATGGATATTCTTGCAAATATTTGCTAGATCCGTTTTCGAGTTGTAGAAGCTAAAAAAAGCGTTAGGTAGTTTCGGAAGTGGAGGGGGGGGGGTTATAAATAGAGCTATAAAAATTGTCGGTACCGATTTACTTTTTCCTTTTTGATGTCCCCAGAGGCCAAAAACACCATTCGTTCAAATTTTCATGTGTATATATGATAACTTGAGTAATTTTTGTCTAATTTTGTTGACGGTGTAAGGCAGGATAAACTTGAATGAGTTCGCGAACCAGCATGATCGGACCATTGGAACGAGGTTTTACGAGGGTAAAAAATTGTTTCTCTCATTATTGACCCTCAAAACACAAAATTTTCCAATTTCTCTCTAGACCTTTTTAAAAGGCTAGAATAACAAATAGTATATCAAACGGTTTTTGTACAGTTATTAGTAACGGAAAATTTTAAAATTGTATTTATTTAATTTTAAAATTCTAAAAATTGTTAATTTAAAATTCCCATGTTACTCTTATGGAGAATATTGTAAAATGTTGTAATTTGCTTGTTTATGGAACTTGTTTAGGTACTCGTTAAACCTAATGTTATTTAAATAGATTAAATTGAAAATCAATTCAGACAAATGGAAGTTTGATTAGTTGGTAGGTTTGCTGCAGGGGTATTTAACTAAAAAAAAAAACATTTAAAAACCTAAAAATGTGGGGTTTTTAGGTTTTTAAACACAACCATAAGATCTCATGACCCAATCTTGGCCATGGGTAGAATCTATCTTTCTTGTCAACATTCGCCCAAGCTGTCCACCAATTACTCAAAGTGGTTAACAATTAATTGTAAATTTTTGTTTTATAGTCCTTTCACATTCAAAATATTACCTAAAAACAACCAAGCCATAAAAATATCTAAAAATATTAAATATTTATAGTTTTCATTATGTTGCAGGATGACAGAGGGAGTCCTCTTGTGTGCAATGGAGTGCTCAAAGGAATCATACCAGGTGTACCAGATATTGGACTCTTTACCAACATATCTACAAACTATAATTGGATAGTCAATCCATCATCATCAACAACAACATCTACCACTGAAAAAACCACCACAACATCAACCAGACTACCAACTACCACAACATCTACACCTGAACCAACTACCACAACATCTACAACTACACCAACTACCACAACATCTACAGCTATGCCAACTACCACAGCATCTACAGCTACACCAACCATCTTAACATCTACAGCTGAACCAATTACCACAACATCTACATCTACAGCTACAGCTACACCAACTACCACAACATCTACAGCTATGCCAACTACCACAGCATCTACAGCTACACCAACCATCTTAACATCTACAGCTGAACCAATTACCACAACATCTACATCTACAGCTACAGCTACACCAACTACCACAACATCTACAGCTATGCCAACTACCACAACATCTACAGCTACACCAACCACATCAACATCTACAGCTGAACCAATTACCACAACATCCACATCTACAGCGACACCAACTACCACACCATCTACAGCTATACCAACTACCACAACATCTACAGCTATGCCAACTACCACAGCATCTACAGCTACACCAACCATCTTAACATCTACAGCTGAACCAATTACCACAACATCTACATCTACAGCTACAGCTACACCAACTACCACAACATCTACAGCTATGCCAACTACCACAACGTCTACAGCTACACCAACCACCTCAACATCTACAGCTGAACCAATTACCACAACATCCACATCTACAGCGACACCAACTACCACACCATCTACAGCTATACCAACTACCACACCATCTACAGCTATACCAACTACCACACCATCTACAGCTACACCAACTACCACAACATCTACAGCTATGCCAACTACCACAACGTCTACAGCTACACCAACCACCTCAACATCTACAGCTGAACCAATTACCACAACATCCACATCTACAGCGACACCAACTACCACACCATCTACAGCTATACCAACTACCACAACGTCTACAGCTACACCAACCACCTCAACATCTACAGCTGAACCAATTACCACAACATCCACATCTACAGCGACACCAACTACCACAACATCTACAGCGACACCAACTACCACACCATCTACAGCTATACCAACTACCACAACATCTACAGCTATGCCAACTACCACAGCATCTACAGCTACACCAACCACATCAACAACAACATCTACCACTGAAAAAACAACCACAACATCAACCAGACTACCAACTACCACAACATCAACAACAACATCTACCACTGAAAAAACAACCACAACATCAACCAGACTACCAACTACCACAACATCTACACCTGAACCAACTACCACAACATCTACAGCTATGCCAACTACCACAATATCTACAGCTACACCAACCACATCAACATCTACATCTGAACCAATTACCACAACATCTACATCTACAGCTACACCAACTACCACAACATCTACAGCTACGCCAACTTCCACAACATCTACAGCTACACAAACCACATCAACATCTACATCTGAACCAATAACTACAACATCTACAGCGGAACCAATTACCATAACATCGACAGCTACACCAACTACCTCAACATCTACAGCTACACCAACTACCACAACAACTACAGCTACAACAACCACATCAACATCTACAGCTACGCCAACTACCACAACATTTACAGCTACATCAACTACCACAACATCTACAGCTACACCAACCACCTCAACATCTACAACTGAACCAATTACCACAACATATACATCTACAGCTACAGCTACACCAACTACCACAACATCTACAGCTATGCCAACTACCACAACATCTACAGCTACACCAACTACCACAACAACTACAGCTACAACAACCACATCAACATCTACAGCTGAAACAACTACCACAACATCTACAGCTACATCAACTACCTCAACATCTACACCTGAAACAAGTACCACATCATCTACAGCTATACCAACCACCTCAACATCTACAGCTGAACCAATTACCACAACATCTACATCTACAGCTACAGCTACACCAACTACCACAACATCTACAGCTATGCCAACTACCACAACATCTACAGCTACACCAACCACATCAACATCTACATCTGAACCAATTACCACAACATCTACAGCTACACAAACCACATCAACATCTACATCTGAACCAATAACTACAACATCTACAGCGGAACCAATTACCATAACGTCGACAGCTATACCAACTACCTCAACATCTACAGCTACACCAACTACCACAACATCTACAGCTACACCAAATACCTCAACATCTACACCTGAAACAAGTACCATAACATCTACAGCTGAACCAATTACCACATCATCTACAGCCACGCCAACTACCACAAAACCTACAGCTACACCAACCACCTCAACATCTACAGCTGAACCAATCACCACAACATCTACATCTACAGCTACACCAACTACCACAGCATCTACAGCTACACCAACAACCACAACATCTACAGCTACACCAACCACCTCAACATCTACAGCTGAACCAATAACTACAACATCTACAGCTGAACCAATAACCACAACGTCTACAGCTACACCGACTATCACAACATCTACAGCTACACCAACTACCACAACATCAACAGCTACACCAACTACCACAACATCTACAGCTACTCCAACTACCACAACATCTACAGCTACACCAACCACATCAACATCAACAGTTGAACCAATTACTACAACATATTCAACTGAACCAATTACCACAACATCTACAGCTGAACCAATTACCACAACATCTACAGCTGAACCAATTACCACAACATCTACAGCTGAACCAATTACCACAACATCTACAGCTACACCAACTACCACAACATCTGCAGCTACACCAACTGCCATAACATCTACAGCTACACCAACTACAATAACATCTACAGCTATACCAACTACCTCAACATCTACAGCTTCCCCAACTACCACAAAATCCACAACAATACCAATCACCTCAACATCTACAGCTGAACCAATTACCTCATCATCTACAACTCTATCAACCACCACAATATCTACCACCATACCAACTGCCACAACATCCATAACGCTACCAACCACCGCTACATCTAGACATCCTGATATCTCGACAATAACATCTTCTGGAACACCTATGTCATCTACATCTGAAACAATTTCAACTGATGTCTTTACTTCAAGTCCTGATGTCTCAACATTGTCATCTTCTGTAACACCTACAACTACAGATATGTCGTCCACATCTGAAACAATTTCAACTGATGTCTTTACTTCAAGTCCTGATATCTCAACATTGTCATCCTCTGTAACACCTATAACTACAGATATGGCATCCACATCTGAAACAATTTCAACTGATGTCTTTAGCTCAAGTACTGATATCTCAACATTGACATCTTCTGTAACACCTATAACTACAGATATGTCATCCACATCTGAAACAATTTCCACTGATGTCTTTAGCTCAAGTACTGATGTCTCAACATTGACATCTTCTGTAACACCTATAACTACAGATATGTCATCCACATCTGAAACAATTTCCACTGATGTCTTTAGCTCAAGTACTGATGTATCAACATTGACATCTTCTGTAACACCTATAACTACAGACATTTCATCCACATCTGAAACAATCTCCACTGATATATTTAGCTCAAGTCCTGATGTCAGTACAACCACATCTTCAACAACATCAGTAACAGACTCATCACTAACAATTACGACAGGCACAACTTCAAATACAACCGTACCAACTGTTACAAGGGGAACGACTACTTCAAACATGCCTGTTTCTACCACAGATTCTACTATAATTACCAGCATATTACCTACAACAAGCCTGGAGACATCTGTGACTGCAACAACTTTAAGTTCGGTGGAATCGACTAGTGCTTCTCCTACGACATCATCAAAAACAAATTTTTGGGAGAGATATGCTGTAAAAGAAATAGTTATTGTTGGGGCCTTAACGTGTGTTTCAGTGTTTTCTATTTTATATTGTTTTATTAAATTATTACCACCAATTACATAATTTTAAAAATTATATTCTAAATTATTCAGATGGTAACCACCGAAGGCGTGAACAATTTCTACAATGTCTGTATGCAAAATTTGGTTGTTGGCCACATTTTTAGACCCAATCTGAAGAAAAAAACTTTGTGCGAAACACAAATATTTTGTTTAACAAAAACATATAGTCTCATTGCTCTCTCTGAGAAACATATATTAGTTCAGGTTCTATGTGAATTCTATGTGATTTTCTAGTATTAATACTTAAAATATAAATGTAAACGAAATTATAAGTCTAGTCTTGGTAACAGAAATGCAAATCGGAATTTTGCTTATTAGTGTCATGACACTCAGCCTATTTGAAATGCTTTCTTTTCTAATGTAGTGTGCATTTCATAAAGGATCTCACTAATTCAAAATGTCTTTAATATCCCAAAGAAAATACCTCACTCAATCTACAATTAATTCAATTAGTGAATTAAGTTTATTTTATATTTACTTAATATTTAATTGCTGTTAATTGTAAATAACTCTGCTTTTATATTTTGGATAAATTAAAGTATTTTTAATTTTGTAGAAATGTATTTTTTTTACATACCATTATTTATTTTATTTACCTAATCTTTATGGGTTACATTTTTTTATTATTTTTTTCATAAAAATAAACATAAGTTAGAATCACATTGTACATTGACTATGTTTGAGTCAAAACATAGTCATGTACAATGTGATTCTAACGTATGTCTATTTATATAAAAAAAAACAATAAAAAAACAGTGTCCTATATACAAAAATAATCTACAAAAAATTCTAAACAAGAATGGCTTCCTTCATACTTTTGATAGAGTAAACCGTTACAGAGTTACAAAATCTTAAAATTGACATTTTTCAACCATAACACTTTAAAAATTCCGGAGGCAGCTAAATATTTTAAAAAATAATATAGATATAGAGCTACAAAACTTGGAACAAAGTCCCTGGACATCAAAATAATTTTAGTTTATTGTTTAGTGATTTTATTACTACCTTCTCAGGAGAACATCTGCTAGGAATCAGAATAAAATCTTAAAGGTATAAGTGTCATTCATAACAAACCATTTTCCAGCTGGTTTTAAACAGTCTTTTTGCTGTACTCGCCACAGTACCCCCTAGCTGCTAATGATTTAACTTAAGAAAGTCATGATACTTGAAATCAAACGGGAAAGCGTACATGTCATTCAGATTTTGTTTGAATCGCTCAATCAATTTAATGGACTTGAAACTAGTCATGGATGGTTGGTTGAGATCTTTAGGATCATCCATGACTCATTGATCATAACTTCCTGTCATATTTTATGCACATCCATTGTTCTTGTACTCAGTAAAAAAATATGCCGGTTTGAGTCGATCCATTGCAACTGTGATATTGCTACCCTTAAACACCACATTGGCAGTCTTGGTAGTTCTGGTGATAATGAGGTAAGGACGAGAGTATATAGAGGTTGGAGAGCTCCCTTGGGGATGTCAGTCAGCACAAAGACATCTGAGCAAGTAGTAAGGTGCCACCATGCCTAGTTCTACTGATTGGACGCATCAGGTTGTTTAAGTGAAAACGTAGGCTCTTCACGAAGTTTGGTGGATCCAGTTGATAATCATCATGGCTTTGTGTCATAAATTCTCCAGGAAGTCGTAGAGGTTGACCCTGTACCACACACTACAGGAATATTGCAGTTTGATATTACTGTCAGAAGTATGTGTTTTCTGTTTTGGTACACAAGTTCTGCAGAGGAAGCTTGCATATCTGCACGCCAAACACATCTCTGATCCCCATCAGGATCACTGGCAATACCTCGAGTCCATTGGCAGCAGGATGATAGGCCAGTTGTTCGCAGACAGGTTGATCCGGTTAACTTTGTTTACTTTGCTGAAAAAGAGACTATTCAAATTGTTTACATTGATCCATATGGTTATTCACAAAGGTGTAAAAACCTTGAAATCCAGTTTGTGAACAATGTGTGAGGTATAGTTTCAGATTCTATGTTCACAAGTGGAACTGCTTCAGGCCAACGGCCAACGTAAAAATCTGTCAACACAAGTCAAACAATCCCTGTTAACTTCAGTTGTAAATGTATTACAAAGTGAGTTTTAATTGTCCCCCACTCCACAACTTTTTTCAACATTTTTTCAAACATCAATCCCACTACCACTTCCAAACATTGTTGGGTAGTAAGTTCTGTACTTAATTTGACAAGGTGGTTATTTCCGGCCGCCGTCTTGGATTCACCATCTTGGATGAAAAATCTTTTTTCTGATGTAAATAAAGGTGGGGTTGTGACCCACCTTTGCGGCGACCTTAGGTTCATCAATTTAAATTTGAATTAATAAGACGAGAATTAATGGGCTGGTGTCACCTCTCTGCCATATTATCTTCTGGGAAGTTTGGCGATAAACACTACTTGCGACGTTGCCAATTCTATCAGGCCGCTGCCTGGAGTTAGGTGGTTGTGCCCCACCCAAGGCCGCCTTTAACTCCAGGCCGCGGCCTTCGAAGTGGCAACGTCGCAAGTGGTGTTGTAAGGCCGGTGACACACTATCCCGTTTTGCAGGACCTGTTAAACGGGACCCGTTTCACAGGATGATTCAAACTCATGGGTTTTAATGGGAGCTGTCACATTGATGCGGTTGCGGCGCGTCGACGGGATGCACTGCAAGGTGCTGCCGCGTAGCAGGACGACCGGACGACGGGATGAAAAGATAAATACATGCAGTTAAATGAGAGCTGTCACACTGTCCTGTTTTGCCGCGCGCGTTTAGCATGTTCGACAAGGACAACATTTATGCAATTTAAATTAATCTACCAATTAATTATTAATCTGACCCTAAAAACACACAATTTCACATTTTCTTTCAAAACCATTTTGTAGAGATTAAAAAACAAATAATTTTTCCTACAGTCACCTGACAAAGTTGGCTTCCTTGTACTGTTTATAGTACATAAAGCTGCTAATTGCTGCATATTTATACTTTGCCGTACGGTTTATACTTTGCCGTAAGGTTTATACTTTGCCGCACATCAGGATTCCAACGAAACAACACAAAACAGCGTGGTTCTATTATGCACGTAATCCGTGTACGCTTGGAAATAGGTTGGCAACACGATAAAAGTAATAATACTATGAGCAGCTGATTGACTATTATAACTACGATTTAACCTGTCATTTCGTGTTTATAGTTTCGGTATTTCTGAACTTTCTGGACTTTTCTTTTAAACGTTTTTAAAATATTCCTACGATCTTAACAAACAAGAAAATACCTTTAAACCATTTTCTTAAGGCGCGGAAACCACTTCAAATTACAAAAACATACGGAACTATATTCTCAAAACGCGGAGCATATTTCTTGCCGAGGAAAAATAGCGGAGTGATACGGACCGCGGGTACTACTTTCTCTAGGGCACCATTTGGTTGCCAGCTGAACCTAAAAACGTGTTGTATAGTGTTTGAAAGACTAATTATTTATATGCTTTATAGTGACTGTAGGAAAAATATAATGTGTAACACGAGTGAAAAAGGCCTTTGCTGCACTCGAGATCATTCCGCACTCGCCTGCGGCTCGTGCGTAAACATTGCTCTCGTGTGCAGCAAAGTGCCACTTTCACCACTAGTTACACAAATAACTATAGCATATTGAATCGTTATTGTGTGCCTAATGGTTACGGAGAAAATTCCAAAAAATTGTTAATTTAAAATTTCTCATGTTATTCTCATGGAGAATAAGTCAACTGTTGCAGTTTGCTTGTTTATGGACATATTTTGATCGGATTTTGAAAATACATGCATTTCTTACTAAACTATTAAGATTTTACAACAAAAAAATTTTACCCCCCCCCCCCCTCTTGCAGCAAACCTAACTACTCTTTAAACTAATTATATTTAAATAGGGAATAAATGTGATATTTTTAAAGAGGCATTTTAGTTTAAATCCAATCAGGCAATTGGAAATTCGCTTAGTCTGCAAGTTTTGCTGCGACGGGGGTATTTTATTTATTGTTCTTTTGACTTGAACGCACTTTTTCAACAAACAAAATTTAAATGGACAGTCTACAATAAATACAAATTTAACAAAATCTTAAAAGAATAAAACTATATTGTCCTGATCTTATTGTTATCGTTAATCTTTCTTCAGTACTGATTAAATTCTTGAACTGTGTATTGATCTTCGTTAAATGTAAAATGTGGCCTCAAAACGCGCAGCAGCTCATAAAAAGGCGTGATGGACATTCTACAATAATTAAAAAACTTGCGAGGATACTGCATTATACCTTGATAAACTCTTAAACTGTCCATCTGTATCATTTTCGCAATGAAAAGGGTGTACCCAATAACGCCTACGTAAAGGTTTTAGCAACAGACCAAAACATTTCTTGTGTGTCTTCAAGAGCACAGACAAATTTCACTTTAGACACCATCGTAATGTTGTCGCTATCAACAGTGCACTGCATGTGATGCCGCGCTCTTCACTCGAAATAATATGTTGCGGTAGAACGGGACAAGTGTGACAGGGCAATGTCAATGCGGCAAAATCGCATCCCGCAAAACCGCATCCTGCTAAACGGGATAGTGTGTCACCGGCCTAACAGCTGTTTTTTTTTTTGAAGCAGCTAATGGTATTTGCGTATTTACGATAGATTGGTTACTGGACTATGTCAATGTTGATTCCACTTAAAATGTACAGATATAGGTTTTTAATCCATATTGTTTTCAGTTTTCAATTCTGTATGTTCTATTTTCGATATTTTAATAAATTTATGTTCATAAATTGTAATCAATAAAGTGCGAATTACTGAGCAGATATCACCTGTCTGACATGTTATCTTATGGCACGTCTTGTTACTAAATTCTGCCAATTCTCTAGGCCGCCTTGGCCTCACCCCGCACTGCGGTTGTTGTGGTGGGGTGTTATTTACTTCACTGATCATATTTCTGTTAATGATACATACCGTTTCTGCTTTAATATTCGTGGTAGGTCTAGTTTCCAAAATTTGAACAATCATCGATTTACAAAAAAAACTCTTACAATCCTAATGCTTTATTATCCAATGCAAACAGTAACATTAAGTATGTAATAAAAAAATAATAAAAGAATTACTAGGGAATTTAGTACTGTACAATTAAATCTGTTCATTAGGCTACATGACAACTATAGGCAAGTCTCTGGTGCTGAAAACCCCAAACAAGAAAGAAAGAAGAAGAAGAAGGTTTGTCTTCTTGTCCTTGTCCTTCCTTCGTTCCGTTCCGTTCCGTGTATTGTCTTCTTGCCTTCTTCTTCTTGCCATGTCACCATGGCACACACACTCGCCACTCATACTCACTCAACTTCAACTATAAACTCACACAATTTCTTCATTTGTTTGTTATGTTAATAATTGTTCTTGTTTTAGTTTTCTACTAAGCTACTACTAAATAAAATTAATCTCCATAGGGCCTTGTGCACGTGGGATCCCAATCACTAATCACTGTTTTACTGTGTATTTCTCTTTATAATTGATGTCA